GGTTGTTTCACAGTAGAAAATGAAACTGAAGAGATGGAACGACAACAAAATAGCGCAGACTGCATCAACAGACGGCCGCATTGACAAGCATTTGTGTGAGAGTGTTACAAGAAAGCTACAACTTTAGTTCAAAAAAGCAGTAGCCCCTCACTGCAGAACACAAGATCCAGGGGGAGTGGTTGGATCCACAGCTAAGGGGTGTGAGATTGGTAGGTTTAGGTGTCTGTAATGCCGAGTTCACACTACACGATTTTCAAACTCGTCAGATCGCCATTATTTTCACACTGCGTGACTATCTGGGGTAGCATTCAGTTGCTGCTGTGTTCACATTGCACGATGGATTGGCGACAAGGGGTTTCACACTGCATGACTTCACAATAGGAAGAATCGCCGACAGCTCTGTCTGACGAGAAGTGATAAGGAAATAACGCGAGAACCCGTGTGCGTCAGAACGGAGTTTTGGAGCGAGACTGGAATTATTAAAAAATATATATATATAGCCCGCAAATTGTCTGTAAGCTGATTTACAGCTACAAGGAGAAAAAGAAAAACAGATTATGCAGGAGGGAGATGCAGGGAACAGGGATTGGATGTTCTGCAAAGAGAGTTGGAGGTAAATAATTTTGCAGTAGTTATGCTGATGTTGTGGCTGGTCAAGCAAATGTTTGTGCTTGTTACGGTATGAAATAATTGTTCATATATCTATTAAAATACTGATATTCTGGTCTATAACTCCTCCTCGAACTTCCCGCTGCCCTGTATCTTGATCTCTCATTGGCTGTAGGTCATCGCCGGTGTAGTTTTCAGTCAGAAATCATTGCAACACAGCATGATTGTGAATCGCCGACAGCTCCAGATATTTAGAATGCCAAATATTTTGCGGGCGTCGGCGATTCCCTCAAATCGCGTCTTTGATAATTCACACTGCGTGATAGTCACTCGCGTGAACGAACACTGATTTGCCTCCGATTTCGGGCATTTGTCGGCCATTTCGCAAAACCTGTCGGGCAAGTGAAAAATCGGGCTAAAATCGTGCAGTGTGAACTCGGCATAAGGTGTGAGGAGTTGGATCTGGATCCAACCACGCCCCCTGGATCTTGTGCTCTGCAGTGAGGACCATCTCCAAAAAAAAAGTACAAAGACATTTTATTGGTCTTACCTTCAGGAGAAAAATACAGTAGACAATGGACAAAGCTTTCTGGAGTGCATGTGTCGTCCGCCTGCATTCGTGCATGCTATCAAATGGAGTATACTTTGAAAGACTATGCGTTTGACTGTACGCATACATGCACGGATACTTTGCACTTTACTGGTATAATAAAAGTGTTGGTTTGCCATCTCATTACAGGGAGCACCTTCATGCCATGTGAGCTTAATTTTGGACTAACATTCACTTAACAAGACTGTAAAGTATTTTTGACCCACAATGTTTTGAATGAACTGGAGTTTTGTCTTTGAGTATGTGGGGGCTTTATTAGAATTTATGTTAGTTTAACAATTCATTGATTTTTTTTATTTTTTTTTAAAATACCAGGTCTGGATTTGATTTCATGTTTTAAAAAGCCTTGTAAATAAATCTAAGCCTTTTTATATTCAACTGTTTATGTACCTTGTGTTAAACATTTTGCAGTGAATTCATGTTCTTGGTGACAAGCTGGGATTGTTCTTGTTTCAATTAAAATATATTTATTTGATGTAATTTTCAGTTAAATTGTTTTTTAAAACAGGTTACTATAAC